TTTCGAATCCCCGTCCTACCAAACATGCTCGCCCTTTCAGCCGTGGGGGTGTTATAATGTGACGGTCAATCCCAATATTCGCTGGTAAAAGAGTAGCCCAAGAGTTGGCGGTGGGTGGTGATGACTAGCTGCCTTCCATCTAGTCTTACACTGCTAAATTAGGGACGGCTAGCGCAGATAGCTTTCGTGTAGCTTTGCGCGAAATTCAAAAACAAACAAACAAATAAATAACCTTGACCTACTTTATGATATTGATTTTGTGCAACTGTTTTATTGGTTATAAATGTATGTTGATGATTGTGGTTTTAATGTATTTATTCAAAGTATGGTTGAAAATTTAGACTGTATATTATTTTTTATAGAATAACGTAAAATTTGAAATCACTGTTATGGTGGAAGAGGCCAAAAATGGCTGAAACACTAGATCAAATGAGAGAATAAACAAAAACGGTTGCAAAATGTGCAAAAAGGCCAAGAACGCGGCTGGAATAGTGAGTTCTTATTCTTGTGTAAGAGGCGTGATATCATATTGAATTGAAATTCATGGCTTCATTGTGGTTGAGGGAAAATTGGTAGCAATTAATGCAGAATGTTTCTTTAAAATTTCTTGTTATCTAGTAATGCGAGGAGTTAAAGCCCTCTCATTGGTTCGATTTGATAATATTTCCGGTGTTGTAGCTATTTTCTGGATGGATAAGACACGTAGAATATTGTAGTTATTTTAGTCTTTCTTTCATTCTTCTGCTGATCCCTCCGATAGATATCACCACATGAACATGGAATCTTGTGGTCTCTCCGATAGATTTCACCACATGAACATGAAATCTTGTGGTCTCTCCGATAGATTTCACCACATGAACATAAAATCTTGTGGTCTTTCCGATAGATTTCACCACATGAACATGAAATCTTGTGGTCTTTCTGATAGATTTCACCACATGAATGTGAAATCTTGTGGTCTTTCCGATAGATTTCACCACATGAATGTGAAATCTTGTGGTCTTTCCGATAGATTTCACCACATGAACGTGAAATCTTGTGGTCTTTCCGATAGATTTCACCACATGAGAAAGGATTTTTGTAGATAATGTTCGTCTTCACTGTCGTTTTTTTATTATTTTGGCAAGCATGTTTTTTAAGCTTCTGCCACACTTAACTTACACTTGGAAGTTAACTTTTTGTATAACTTCTTGAGTTTGTACCTTAGTTTTATAATCAATAAAAAAAATGATGATTGTTGGGACTTACGCCTGAGTATCGTGAGGGTAGATTTTTTTGTTTTGTTTTCTCTATGGGATGGGATGAAGGAGATGCTGACTAGTTGCCTTCCCTGAAGTATATCAGCTCTAAACTAGGAACGGTTGGCGCATATAACTCTCATTTAGCTTTGCGTGATTATCCGAAACAAAATAAACTGAAGCGGTAAGGAAATGACGGGTCATTAGTGTCTTAAGGAATTGCAACCGAAGCTTTCTATAATTACTTCCCAACAAAGTAAATGTCGTATTTACATAGAGAAGAAAACAAGCTATGGTACATTTATGCGTGTCTGAATTTCTCTTGTGTCATTCCACTGTGTGGGACTCACTCGCAATGAGGTCATGTATACATGCAGCCTTTGTTAATAACTTCAACGTAGTATTTTTCCCCTCACGACTTTACCACAAAACTGAGTTTAAGTAGATTTACAGAAACACTGTGCATAATTTATAATCACCAAGAAAGTGTATAATTATAAAACACATTTTCTCGGAATATCACATAAAATTCCTGG